AACTGAGGGTAAGAAGAGAGGCACAAATTATTTTATTATAACAACTATGTTATTTCCTGGTAAAATGAATTATTCCAATTCCATAAAGTATTATCTAAGCAAAAATATTTTTCCGTATATTTCTAGTGGTGTACATAAAGTTAGAGTAAGATTATCATTTTGGATTTCCATAGTTGACTTCAGTTCTAATATTTTGCTCTTTTTACATACACCAAACTTATTAATGGAAAGAAAATCCACATATGAAAGCAGCATAGAATACTGGGTTGAAGATCAGTGTTCCCTCTAAACCAAAGGTGGGCAAACTACGGCGACCTGTCAGACCTTTTAATCTGGCCCTCGAGCTCCAGCCGGGGAGCGGGGTCGGAAGCTTGCCCCGCTCTGTTCGTGCCGTGGCTCCACGTGGCTCCCGGAAACAGTGGCATGTCCCCCCTCTGGCTCCAGCTAGGGGGCTCCGCATGCTGCCCCTGCCCCAAGTGCCGGCTCTGCAGCTTCCACTGACCGCTGGCACTGCACCTCCATGTAGAAGCCAGAGGGGGGACATGCCGCTGCTTCCGAGAGATGCTTGAGGTAAGCGCCTCCTGGAACCTGCACCCTCCCCCCCACCCCCCCATGCGCCAACCCCCTTGCCCCAGCCCTGGATCCCCCTCCCTCCCTCCGAACCCCTTGGTCCCAGCCTGGACCACCCTCCTGCATCCCAAACCCCTCATCCCCAGCCCCATCCAAGTCTCCGCACCTCCAGCCAGAGACCTCACTACCTCCCGCATCCCAACCCCCAATTTCATGAGCATTCATGGCCCGCCATGAATTTCCATACCCAGATGCGGCCCTCAGGCCAGAAAGTTTGCCCACCCCTGCTCTAAACCATGGTCCTAAATTTCAGTCTCTTTGCATAGCTGTATGAATACTTCTTACAAGATTATCAACTGCATTCTGAGGTCTCCCCTGCTAAGCTATCAGTGAAAGCTCTGGCCACAAGGTAGTGAGACAACTCAGTGGAGAGCTAGCACACACAGCACAGCACGCTGAGCTCCAAAATCACTGATTAACAGGATGAAGCTATTCTCCACACTCTTGTTCACATGCTGCAGCATGAAGTCGCCAAGGAACTTAATGGGCAGGGGCTAGAACTCAAAAGGTCTAGAGCGCCTCCTTCTCATGTCCTCAGTGCATGGATTAATTGGAAGTAGACACAGGGAGGATACAGAAAATAAATTGGGTGTGAGGACAGTAGGTGCCAGAAGGGAAGGGAAGAGATTCGACAGACGGGAAACATATTAAGGAAAATATGAAGCAGCATTATTAACACTAATGCTACTCTTGGTCACCTCAGCACAAATTTAGTAATATGATGCTAATCACCATGCAAAAAATAAAAAATAAAATAAATAAAATCATATGCACAAGTACTATCCAGAAGTCACCCTTTGTGGAAGAGCAAGCAAGGCCCCCTTTACCACTTATTCTGTACACTACGCAGAATTTAATTTAGGAAACGTGGACACACAGGTTCCCTCCACAATTGGGCTCCATAATAGCCCCAAACAGGTTGAGGTTAAGGGTACTGAGGTTAAGGGTATATAGGCTACAGACCTACCCCTAGGGGGAGTCCCATATTAAACAGGGGCATATGGAAAGACACTGTTGGCGATCTCCCCAACAGCTGCATGGTGGATTATTCACCCCAATCCCTGCACAAAGCCAGTTACTCTGGCTGTGCGTGAGAAGGTATGAATTTCACACACAGTGAATCTAACTTCATTAAAGTCCATCTGCGTTTCAATTTAGGGCTTGGCTACACTTGCGAGTTACAGCGCAATAAAGGAGCCCCGGGCACACTAGCTCACTACCCGTTCACATTGGCAAGGCACGTAGAGCACTCTGACTCCACGGCTGGAGCGCTCCTAGTACTCCACCTCTGTGAGTAGAATAACTTTTGATGCGCCCCCGCTGGAGCGCCCCAGCATCAGTGTGAACGAAGTGTTGCATTATTGCGCTCTGATCAGCGTCCAGAAACATCCCATGATCCCATAATTAAGTCAAGTGGCCACTCTTGTCATTGTTTTGGATGTGCCCTTTAACAGCCGGCATGCTTATCTGCTGCGAGACAAAGCAACCATTACTGTGGAATGTGTGTGAGAGAGAGAGGCGGGGGAGAGAGGGAAAGGGGGAGGTCTGCTGCTGTCTGAACTTACAAGATAGCATGCTGACATGCTCTCAGCCTCTCTCTCCCCCCACATACACACAACACACTCCCTGTCACACTCCACAAACATTTGAAAAGCATGTTCCAGCCACTTGCATGCTGGGATAGCTACCACAATGCACTGCTCTCTGTGGCCATTGCAAAAGCTGCTAATGTGGCCACGCCAGTGCGCTGTCAGCTGTCAGTGTGGACAGACTACAGCGCTTTCCCTACTGCGCTCTACAAAGGCTGGTTTAACTCAAAGCGCTCTAAAACTGCAAGTGTAGCCATGCCCTTAGTCCATGGCCTTGCATTAGGAGAGGGTTGTGTGGACATCTCTTGTTGCATCAAGATGCAGACTGTCTACACATTAGTTCTTTAAAATGACCATGGAGAAAACTGAAGACTCTCAACCTTTAATAAAGAATATAGTACAAAAGCTTCTAAAGCTCAGTACAATAGAATTGGCTCCTTCTGCTTACATAGATTGCCTTAAAGCAGATGTGCCATCTTAAATGTCAATGCTGGTAGGTAACATGGTATGGTAACACTGCACTTTCCTGTTAACACTGGTGGAGTTTTCAGCATAGTGGAAAAACTCCTTTTTTATGAGTAGATGATTTCTTATACTCTCACTAAATGTAAACCAGGATGAGCACAGAGTTATGCACAGTTAGTCACACAGATGGGACTACAAGGGATATATACACAAGTATGCATTACTCCCTTTATTCCTGAAAGCTGTACTTTAAATTAAGCAGGAAAGAGGGGACAAGGAAGATCTTTACCCCCCCAAAAAGTACAAAGAAAAACAGAAGCCAATACAAAGAAATTTAAAAGTCATTTAACTAGAACATATGGAATGAATAAATCTTTACACTTCTGTATCAACTTATCAGAGGACCTCAAAGCATTTTCGTAAAAATTAGAAACAAAAATTGAAGTTAAACTAGAAATAAAGATAGTACAAGGAAGAGGAAACAAAACCAAAAGTATAATCAACTGAAACAGATAAACAATGCAACATTAGAGCTAAATTCAGCTGAAAATAATAGCAGGCTTTCTTTATAAGCCCTAAATCCTAGCTCTGAAGTAGGCCTATCTAGCCAAAAGAAATTTCAGCATAAGAAGCAACAAAAAAAAAAGTCAACACCCCAAATGCAGGTAATACTCATCCAGGAGGAGGGGAGGTCATAATAGTCATTTCCTTAATCTCATGCTCCAAATTGCAGATTCTCAACTCCTTTTAAAATCCCCACCTCCCACTCCTATGACGCAAACAGGATTTAATGTAGATCTTGGCTGGAATAATCCTCCCACAGTGCCCAGCTGAGATTTACTGGAGAGGTGAATCATCTAAGATACTTCTTTATAAATTCAAAAAGCTCCTCTCCTGCAACCACTGAATTGCTGCATGGGGCCTTCATCCTAATCTTTAGAGTGCTTCAGCATAGTGATAAGGAAGGAGGAGATGGAGAATCCTCCTCAACAATACCCAGACATTTTTTTTATTACTACTACATCTTCAGGCCATTTACTTCACTCTTAACTGACAAGTCATCTAGAAAAGAGTCTGCTCCAATATTAAAACATTTAGAGACCTCATAAGCATGTTCAATGGAATCTAATTCCCTGAGAACTAGGATACTATATATGGTAACAGAGCTGAGCAGAATCAACTAGTCCAGTCTTGTTAACTCATATCTTCTGCATCCAAGAGGTCTAAAGTCTATTATGGACCTGAAGGCACTGAGATGCTATTTAGGCTGCAATGGACCCTTAGATATTTGATCTGGGAGAAAAGGGGGGGGGGGAGGGGAAGAGAGAGAAAAGAGAGGAGAAAGAAGAGTTAACTTGTTAAGACTGGGGGAAGATGGAGAACCAAGATGACAGAAAAAAGTAAATTAGCTGCTCTATCCTTTAGTTATAAGCCAGGATTAATTAAATTCTTAAAACTTCAAAAATGCACTCTCCCCCTAGCCCTAATCAGTTACTGGTCGTCTTGTATTCTGAAACATGGGGTCTTAGAGTCCTTATAAAAGTTACCCTATTTAATGCAACTATAGATGTTTATATTAACTCATTCATCTAGCTATCTTGCCATATATATCTATACTTATATACTTTGTTGGATTTTACTAAACTCTTGGCTAAATTTGCTGGATTTTACTAAACTCAATGAGTTCCACAGTTTAATCACTGTATACAAAAATCACTGTCAGATTAATTAAATGTCTCCTTGTTCTTTTTATTATAGAAAAGATTAAAGAGCATTCAATATTCTCTCTATATACCATTGATTTGTATACCTATACTATGTCCTATTATATTCATTTTCTAATCCTAATTTGTAAATCCCTTTACCATTCAAGTTCCAAGCCTCTTAACCAGAGGCTGAAAATAGTACCTAATTGTTCAGTGGTTTGGAGCTTGGAACAATGGTTTGCTAAGACTAAGGTGAGAAGACCTAAATCATTTTTATTTGGGACCACTCTGGGAGTCTGCATTTTACATCTCCACATGTGAAGTGCTACTGCACTAACCTGTTCTTCTAGTCACCCACATCATATGAGCATTTGTACTGTTTAGCCGTTAATTGGCCTCAGAGATATTCAGCAATTATAGGTTCACATTCCCCACTCACAACTCAAATTGGGGGAAAAAAATCAAGATAGAAAACTGAGTTAAAGTTTTGAAAAACGTAATTAAAATAACTAGAATTGTGAAATGACTAACCATATACAATAATTTTTTAAAATAGTGAGGTTTCAGCTTTTCAAAATGTCTGCCAAGAATATAAACATAAAATACTCACCCTCTTGGTCTACTTCTGTGATTGTAACCCATTCCAAGGACACATGGAAGCCACTTCCTTTTGCATCCAGTTCATCTTTTTCTACTCGAAGCAGAAGCCCAGCTACTGAATGCACATCTGACTTTACAAAGGAAACACTGTGGGCTATAACAAAGGGACTCCCAAGTTCTTCATTAAACATAATCTGTAAAGCAGAAAGAAGAAAAAAAAAAGAAAGAGGTTGGAGGGGGAAGGGAGGAGTCCATTGTAGCTACTTTGCTATCCACTAGAAAAGGAATGAGTAAGTTGACTGAAGCTACCCCAAGGATTTCACTGCCAACACAGATCACTCAGTGACTTCCGCCTCTGGTTTGTTCGTCCTGCCTCCTTTGCCCAGATAGTTTTGACATTCTTTTTATTATTAATTTGTATATTAAAGTAGCAGCTAAAAGGGCCATTATGCTAGGTACTATGCAAACCCAGTAAGATAGTGGATATATGATTTGATGATTTTGATAATAAATCAATCAATTTTGGAAAACAAAATCCGACTTTTAAAATAACCTTTTTTGGTTAACGAGTTGTTTATCATTAAATTCTGAAGGGTTCCTTTACTAGACAACTGTAGAAAACGGTGTATGATAAATGCCTATTATTAAATGGAGGAAGAGGAGGAAATTAATCATTTTAAAACTGCTGAGATGAGGGAGCACCTTATTAAAATCTGTGAGTGGAGTTTGGGGCAGCCCAATCTGCTCCTGCATTTTGCTGAAAGCTGATCAGAACTGTCTGATCTAGTTTAAATCTTGAATGATACATTCATCTGGTAACCACTGTATTAGAATGTGGGATTGTTGCACAAAAGAAGTCCAATAGTTTGAGTCATTTAAATTGATCCAGAGATGGGAGCTACAGTAATAGAAACTTTGGTTCTGGAGACCATATCTTTTTATTCTGTCTCAGGTCAAACAAGCACTTACTTAGCACAGTATCAAAATGTTGATAAAATTGATCAAGACGAAAAAGGACATGAAGATAAGAATGTTTTAATTGCCTATACATCTATACCAGGAACCAGTGTAATAAAACAAAAGGAATTAGAATTGCTCGTTTATTAACAAAAATTCAACCTAGTTGGTACGGCTGAAGTCTGGTGAGAAGACTGGCATGACTGTAATGTTAAAATCAATGGTTATAACCTGCTTAGGAAGACTGGAGTGCACAGAAGGGGAAAGAGAATGGCAAACTGTTAAAAATGAGATTACTGATTTCCAAGTCACTGACAACTTGGAAGAAAATGATCTTGCATGCTGACAGATAAATGTCATAACAAATAAAGCACAAGACGTACTATTTGGTGTCTGCTACAGACCACCAAATCACACTAGAAAACAGGATGACTACCTCCTTAAGCACCTACCCACAAGATGGAGAAAACCCATTGTTCCATGGTGCTTCACATTGAATAAGCAGTCACTGAATTTTAACAAGCAACAATTGTCCCTAGTCTATCAGTAATGGTGGCACACACATATAAAGACATACGCACACACACAGGGTATAATCTTCTTGAACTACCTCAGTCCTAGAAATTGTGAGATGAATGTGGCACAATTATAAATACTATGTCATTCCCCATCATCCATGGCACCATACAAACCCATTCTGTGGGCACACAAAGCATCTCTGAGTTCTGTTGTGCATGTGAATACTGTTCCAGTAATGACAGGGACCAGCAGTGTCTTGGATCCATTCCTGGTGAAATTGCTCAGCTTTGGCTTAGCAGACATTGAGCAGTGCTCAGCAGGCCACAATAATGTGAACAACATTGATAACATCGGCATCCAAACAGTTCTGAAGGCAGTGCCATCTTGATTTCAATCTGCTAATCCCACATTCCACCACCATTTTACAGTTACTGAACAGGTAGTTGAACCTTCTTTTTGCCAGGCCTTCTGCAATCAGGTTACAGATTCATAAACTATGGCAAAAAGAGGTAAGCAGGGTCCACTAGAATAAAGTGGGAACAGTTACTCCATTTATAACAATGTCATTTGGTAGAAACAATGTCGCATCTTGTTCATGAAGGTATAGTCTCAATCTCCAGAAAACACTGGAACCGTGCACCTTGCTAGTACATACTATGCTGGTGTCTCTGACCTTGCCTCTCTGGTTGTCCAGGGTCTGCAAAATGAACCACCCTTGTGGTTTATGTACTCATGTGTTCCTTGCAGAGAGGAAATTCTGGGCACATAAGTCCCCTCAATAGCCCCAGGTCAGTCTGGGAAGCCCATTCTCTCAAAGCCAACAATGTTCCTGAAATAATTGCTAACGCCCATCCTGTTTAGGTAAATCACAGTCATGATTGCCTCACAAGCCTCCACAACCACCACCCTATCTCTTGACTTGCCAACACCTAGCTGGTTAGCCACAGACCTGTAACAGGCTGGGGAGGCTTCTCTCTGGTGGCTATAGAGACCCACTTCTGAGCTCACATGGCCTCCTCATGCATGTGTTTAGACGCTGAAGGGTCATGGCAAGCTGATTACCAGAATGTCTACTTCTTCATACAAAACTTCTGGGAGCCACTGCAGGTCATCCCAGGTCCACATGATTACGTGATCCCACCAGTCTGTGCTTGAGGCGTTACTCCAGAAGCGCCAATCTACATATGGAGAATCTGCAGTTATGGCAACAGGCACGAGCATCATCGCCTGTTTCCTCAGATTTTTTGTTTGTTTGTTTTTTAAACAGACATATTGAGCTTTATGAATTAGGCCAGATTGTACATTCCTTCAATTAGTCTTCAACTGCAAGCTGCAGTGTATGGGCAGAACAGTAAACTCCCTTCAATGTTACACCCATGGCCTCAGCAGATATATTAAATACAGCTTCTTCAACCACATGAATCAAATCATTCTGATCTGGTCCATATCTTCTTTTTGAAGATCTTCCTAAAAGAGTAAACTCTGTTTGCTCTTTATTCAGAATTTGTTGTTCTGCTTTTTCAGTTTCCTGGTCCTCAATCATTATCTTCACTGCTTTCACTATGTTTGCTCCATTACCTGTAACACTGCGCACACCCACCAACCCCTATATTTTATTTATTTATTTATATATATATATATAAAAATAAAAATAAAAATAAAAATAAAA